AAATATTAGTTGAATAAATTAAAAAGTGGCCAAACATAAGACCTGTTTTTCTAGAGCAGGGGCTATCAGCTAGGAGCAATTCTGGCCCCGGGGACAGTCAGCAGTGCCTGACATTTTTATTTTGTCCCAACTGCGGGGTGCTCACAGGCGTCTCATGGGCAGAAGCCAGGAAAGCTGTGAAACATTCTCCAAGGCACAGGACAGCCCCCACAACGCAGGATTACCCAGCTCAAAATGTTCATAGTGCCAAGGTTGAGAAACCCTGTCTAGGGCGCTGGGCCAGCTGCTCCATCGAAAGAGGTAACCTGAGCCTTCAGATCGGGTTGCAAAACGTTTCAGCTCCACTCCGGAGGCTCTGTAATTAAGAGCACGAAGCTGGAGTCTGACTGCTATGTTCACTCTCCATTGGCCTTAACTGGCAGATAAGTTTCCCATCTGTAAAAATGGGAATAATACAGTGCTTATCAGCACAGTGCCAGGTCCGCGGTTCTTGATCGCTTGATGTTATTGCTATCATAAGTTTTTTTTTTTTAAGAATATGGATTGCTTTCTACCAGGTATTAGAGGTTTTTATGGCTAAGGCCTCCCCCCCAACATTAAACTGAAAACTCTCTGGAAGGCCCCATCCACGTGGGAAGTCCCCTGGGTACCCTCTCTTCCAGGGTTTAGCACAACATCGCACACAATAGGCACTCAGTAAATACATGAATCTATGGGCTTCCTCCCCCTATGGTGGGGGGGGGGGTGTCCCGAGTGCAGGGAGAAGTTTGCAAAAGAGACTGCGCTGAAGGTGTGGCAAGTGTGGCCTCCAACCTTGGTTTGGGAGAGAAGTCCTTCTCCCCCATGTGTTCTTCCTGTCCTTCCTTGCCCTTACCTATCAAGCCCCCACCCACAAAGGACACCCAGCAGTGTTGAAAGTGACCCATGCCCAGGGCACCCTCCCCCCCCACCCCCACCATCCCTTGGGAAACTGATTAACTTAGAAAAGGCACAGCTCAGCATGGGAGACAGAGCTGGTCACAGTCCTAGTGGTCAGGCAAACAAAACTCAAAACTGGGGGCGGGGGCTCCCCTGCCCTGAAAGGCCCATAGAAACACCCGTCCATCAGACTGAGCCCTCTGGGACAGGATCTGTGTCCCACCTACCCCCCTCACCCCCACCCCCCCGCCATCTAGCCCAGAGGAGTTCTATTAACATGTGTCACTGAGTGGGCAAGGGTGAAGGAACCCAACTCCACCACACAGGTGTTTGCAGGGCAGATCCACCCGGAAACTACACCTTGGTTTCTTCACCTGTAATTTGGAAAATCAGCAGAGTTTAAATGAGAGTGATAAACGATGATCTGACTAATAATAACTGGGCACCAAGTGCCAGGCACTGTTCGATGCACTTCGCATGCAGTGTCTCTCCCTTAGCCATCACAGTGAGGCATGCACCAAGTGCCTAGCCCAGCGTCTGGCACATTATAAGCACTAAGTATTACTCTCCCCCCTACCAAAAGGAAGAGTCCCTTTTCTGCCCAGTACTTAATTTGGAAAAGGGAGAAGAGGAAAGAGGAGTCCCGGTAGAAAGGAGACAGGAGACTCAGGGAATCCCAGAGGCGAGTCCTGAACGTGAGACCCAGGGTGGGGAGCTGAGAAGCGCTGTGCGAAAAATCGAGATGCATTCTGTCGGTGGGTTCCCATTAGGAGGAAAACGAGCGCGAAGGAGGTGACTTTCCGAGCGTGGGATCCGGGAGGGGTCCCCCTCGCGGAAGGAAAGAGACGGGGGGGGGTGTCGCAGCGGGAGGACGGCCTGGGTGAGGGGCAGACGGCTAGAGGAAGGGACCCCCGGCGGGGGGAACCCTCGGGATCGCGGCGGGGATCTGGCAGGGAGAGGCCCCCGGGCACCCCCCTCCCGCCCGCCGCGGGCCCGGGGCGCACTCACCCGGGTTCCCTCCAGGGGCGGGCCAGCAGGGCACCGCGGAGCGCTGGCCGAAGCAGCAGCATCCCCAGCTCGCGGCGGAACTGTTCGCAGACGGTGAGCCCCCGGGGTTGTTCACAGACCTTGAGCCTGGGGCGCGACCAGAAGGCGGAGCCCCGCCCGGAGCGCACCACCTCGGCGGGCGGGGGGAATGGGTCACACGCCGTCCTCCGTGTCGGGATCACCCGAAATGACCCCGTATTTCCTCCTGTTAATATGATAACTCTGATTTCGAGGGAACTTCAGAGGCAAGTATGCGACACAGGACAAGGCAGCCCCAAAGAGAAGCTTTGACATTTACACGTTTCCCCCTCGCCTGTTATGGTATGCCCAGCCGCCCTCCGGGGGGCGGGGAGAGGGGGCGTGAGCCTCTTCGACCAATCAGAATGACACACCGAAGATTGTGGGCCAATCGGATGGGCGGTCTTGGGGCAGCCTTCTTGGGCCGGCGAGGGGCGGAAAGAGCCAATGAGAGAGCCGGAATGGGACACGTGGGAGGAGCCGCGGGAGGACCGCTGGTCGGTGCGCCGGGCGTCGCGAGCATCCCGGCCTGATCAGTCGGTCTGCCCTTGGCCGGGTGGCCATCCCCGCAGCCAGCCCCGTGCCTCCACCCGGGGGGCTGCAGCCCCTGGGATGAGCCTACCGACCCTGTCTCCAGCCTCCCCCTGGTCGGCACCCAGCCACCCCGCACCTTGGGGCCTGGCGCTTAGATAAATCGGCCGGCTTCCTGGCGGACTAGAATCAGTGAGAGATAAAACCCAGCCGGTCCGGGCGCCTGGGTGGCTCAGTTGGTTAAGTGACTGCCTTCGGCTCAGGTCATGATCCTGGAGTCCCGGGATCGAGTCCCACATCAGGCTCCCTGCTCAGCAGGGAGTCTGCTTCTCTCTCTGACCCTCC